GGTGGGGAATTGCTTGACTTCTTGGGTCTTGGTGTTGAGAATGCTGGTAAGTTCCCCAGATGCTACCCAGTGCCACAGGAAATCTATGTGGCTCATGAATGTGGTTCATCAGTGTGGAAAAGGCCCATCCCACCATTATCTCAGCCCATGCATCCCAGTACTGGGCAGGTTTGGCCAACATTTGGGAGATGAGCGTGCCTTCCGCTTGATGACCACAAAGTTGGGAGACATCATGAAGAAAGGAGAAAGCAAGGAAGGGTTTAACTCTGCCTTCAGGTTTGCTTTCCCTTGGTGAGGACTGGTCATCTAGGGGAAGTGGTCTGTGCGAGGGGAGCTAGACATCAAGCGAATAGAAGTCCATAAGCAGGTTTTGCATAAACTGAAAAAACTGCACTTCATCACCAATGTGTCTTATTAATCTTTGGGGGAAAAAAGGGAAATGGGACTAAAATGAACTTTTCTCTAGGTCATGGGAAGCTTTGGTGAAACAGCACAAGTTGTTAGGTACTTTTTAAAACCAGAGTTACAACCTTTGATGTCACCAGAAAAGCCACTTGTCCAGGACTTATAAGGTGGCTCCGGAATGGCCATCCTTTCTTCTCAGACTCTGTCTGGTTTCCAGTGACACCGTCAATACTGGGTGGATTGCTACCACATGGCTGCTGCCTGGCACCTCCAAGTCCTTCAGCATTCCAGGACAGCCCTTCACTTTCAGTATGCAGATAGGGAGCTGGTTTCCCATCCCACACCCTGTGGAAGCCCAGTGCTCCCCCACGAATAGTTGCATGAATGCTTGGAAGCATCAGTGGCTTCTGATAATGTCTTGCTTCACCCAATGTGTCATGGTTAAGTGCACAAGCCTCTGACTAAGGCAGATGGGATCCAATTCTGGTTTTGTTTCCTTTATTTTTATTATGTAACATCGTGCAAATTGCTTGGCCTTTCTCGGCCTCAGTTTCCTCACCCACAATATAAAGGTAATAACTTTCCTCCCAGGGCGGTTGTAAGTTAATAATGAGTTGAAGATGAAGTAATACAGGTCAGGCATGTAGCACTGGGCCCCGCGCCGAGAACATGCCAGGTTGATGGTAGCTGGAGCCTGTATTATTTTATCCGCACACACTCCCTAAGCAGAGGAGCACAGATACCCAACGTTTCATACGTACAGCCTTTATTAAAGGCCAGGCGGTGTTTCCCAAGGAACTCCTTTTAACTTCAAACATTTTCAAGAACTCTGTAGGATAGAAACATTTTTTAATCCTGAAAACACTGAACCTCCATAGGTAGACACAGGACATGGTATTTTTTCCTTTTTTGGGAAGTGTTTGAGGTGCACAAAGAATTGCATACCCCTTGCAATAATTGTAAGCATCCCTGGTGATCCCTGACCCCAGGCTGCTGGCATTTGCAAACATTTCTTGAAAGAATTCCTAACTTTCATTAACTACCACTTACTTTCCTGAAAGGGCTCTCGGTTTTTACATACTCACTGAAAAAATACTTACTGAGTCTGTCATGTGCTGTGTACTGTGCTAGGAACACCCTAGGCTGCCCCTTAAAGGATGAAATGGATGGGCAAGCGGCCTGAGAAAGGTCAGTGAGAGAAACCTGTGGGCTTAGTCTCTCTTCCCATCTTGCTTCCCAGCACCTTGGTTCATGATAATGACCGCATGACGTCAGGATTTATGTTGTGTCCAGTAATTAGCCTGTCATAGAGGTCATGGCTCAGCTGGGAACTTCCCAGCAGTTCCAACTGATATTTCTTAGAAGTCACACCTCCCACTTTTCACATTCTACCCTCAAGCTAACTTTTTCTCTTGAAAAGGCATTTGCACAGGGTTTTTTCCCTGCTTGCGTTTAGATATTTTAATACCTTTCATCAAATATTGTTTGGGCAAGGAATATAAAGAAGCCCGAGCTGCCCTAGTGGACACTGCAGTCTTGGTGGGGTGCCACAGGGCAAAGGCGAGTATAATGAAGTGACACTGTAAAAACATGGTAGAAGCAGCAGCAGAGCCCTCGAGGCCTTAAGCTGTCAGAGAAAGTCCCACAAAAATTTAGGATTTTAGCTCAGTGTGTAGAATGGAATGGGTTTGGTCGGGGAAGGTGCAAGGCGAAAAGATTCTCCTGGAAGGAACAGTATGAGCAGGTGTGCAGAGGTGGGAATGGGTGTCATGAGCTCAAAGGGCTCAAGGTGACTAGGATGCCAGCCTGGCTCATACAGAAGATTTATGCTGAACAATACCAGGCAGAAGTGGCTGAGGATCATGGGCAAGGCACTGCAGAGCCCCTGGGTGCCAGGCTGAGGGGTTTGCGCGGCACCTTCTCAGCAGTGGGAGGGTGGGGGCATATGAGTCATGCTTCATCGGGCGCTGGGTGGGGAGACACTAGAACTGGGGACACTGTTCAGAGGCTGCAGAAGAAGGCTCAGAAGATTTGGGAATGGTTGGCTATGGGTGGCCAAGGGAGAGGAGAGGAAGGAACACTAGACAATACCAGAATGGTTGGCCTAGGTGATTGGGAATGACTGCGGGAACCTTGCCCACCCATCAGTCTTTTGTAAGAATCCTACATTTCAAATGGCTTTCTTCCTTTCCCAGTAAAATTTTTCTCCCCCTCTCCCCCTATTATGCATGGAAGCTAGGGATTAATTTTTTTTTTTTTTAAGAAAAAAGGGAACATGTTCTTGTTGCAACTTTCTTTGGCATCAATGTAAGGTCTGGAGGCAAGTTTGAGATGAAAGGCAAAGGCAGCCTTGGGCTTGAGACGGTAGCCTAAGTGCTTCCCTCGAGATATCAGGTCCTCCTACTTCTCTCCATTGTCCAGCTATTAGAACTAACACAAGTCGATAGATCTTAGACCTGGGGACCGGAGGGGATTTTAAAAGATCATCTAGATAATTTCTGTGCCCTCAAGGAGGAGTAAACCAAAAGCATTCCAAATGGATTAAATATCCTTTGTTTGTAAATTACATTACTGTGAAGGAGCTCACCAGCGAGCCCTGGGAAAGCTATTTAGAATTGATTGATTACTATCAGGGAATTGTTTATGTGCAAGCTCTCGTATTTCAATCTTGAACTTCCCTTCTCACTCTCCCGTGAAGAGACACAATAGCTGGTTATCATCTCACCGTAATGCTCTCAGGTTTCATCAGTATTGTGACAAATGGCAAGAGGTCATCCTTTTTATGGCTGAATATTCCATTCTGTGTGTGTGTATCACAGTTTCTTACCAAACATTTCCTTAATGGACCACGATTAAATGGTTTTAATTGGTTATTCAATGAATATATGGACACCTTTTTTAAATATTAGAAAATACATGGTGCTATGGTCTAGTGTTTGTGTTTCCTCTTCCCGGCCCAACTTCGTTTGTTGAAAACCTAATGCCCAACGTAGTGGTGTCAAGAGGTGAGGCCTTTGGGAGATAATTAGATCATGAAGGCAGAGCCTGCATGGATGGGATTAGTGCCCTTATAAAAAGACACCCCGGAGAGCTGCCTGGCCCTTCCACCGAGGGAACGCAGTGAGAATCCCGCGACCAGGAAGGGGACCTCCCCTCATCATACTGGCCCCCGATCTTAGACTCTCAGCCTCCAAAACTATGCGAAATGAATTTCTGTTGTTTATAAGCTACTGAGGCTGTAATATCTTGTTAGAGCAGCACAAATGGACTAAGACACATGGTAAAAAAAACACACCAAAAAAACCCATACAATGAAAATGAAACGCTTTCTTCCAACCCCTGTCTCAGCCATCTACTTCCCTCCCGCAGAGTCCAATCCCATTTCCCCATGCTTGTGTATTGATGGAGATAGCCCATGCATGTAAAAATAAATATATACAATGCATTCTTAATACAACTGGCAGTGTGCTTTAACACTGCTCTGCATCTTGTTTTGAAATTTAATAATACGCCTTGGTACACACAGGTCCACATTGGCGCACGTAGGTCACCCTCATTGTTTCATTACACTGTACAGAATAACGTAGAGTATTCTGCTGAGTGGATGTACCGTAATGTATTTATCCCAAACCTTTCTGAACACTTACTCCATTCTCCCAAATATCCCCTACCAGCTAAAGACTGTTGAAGACTCTCATACTCCAGCTCCACTGTACAGCTGCTTCCCAAGTGTTTCCGGCAGCGTGCTCGTGCCACAGGGCACACGGGAAGCAGTAAGTGTGGCAGCCTCTTCTCTGGGAAACTATGGCCCCATCAGGGAGAGAAGGCCTGCGGATAAGGCACTCTTGATTGCCAATTCCATCGCCCCACACTTTTCCCATGTCTTCAAGCACATCAGACTCTTCCTAATGGCTTTGTACATGGTATAAACAGCCTTTCCACCTGTTGGATGTGCATATGATTGTGAGACTGACCTGGCTTATGCTGGGAGCCTCTAAAGTAGGGATCGAATACATAAGTGCCTATGGGGGCCAGGAAGGAGACCTAAGTTAGTGAAAGGAAGTGAGCCAGTTGGGAGAGCACAAGCTCTGTTTAAAGGGAGCCGCCAACTGCTGCTTTGCTCCAGGAAATTCTTTCCCTGTGGGTTGCTAGATCTGATTGATTGAAAGGAATCCATGTATAAAACATATATGGGATCTTTTTATTTTATTTTTTACAACCTCATGTGAATCTACAATTATCTATAAATAGAAAGTTTAAAATAAAAGCCAGAAACCTGGATCACTGTGTGAAATGACCTACTTGATAAAAGTAGGCAAAATTTTAACACTGCTCAGGTGCAACAAAACTCACCTGTCAGCCGGATGCAGCCCAGGGACCATCATTCTGCTATCTGTGTGTGTTATGTGCTATATGCTGTTGAGTCAGCTCTGACTCCTGATGATCTGTGCATGGCTAGAGCATTATAATTTAATTTGTATGAAGCCTGTGGCAGCCCAATCCATGAATTTGCTAAAAAAGTACTTCTTTTTACTTTATCAAAGTCTTTGACGGTGGCCATCTCCGCTTACTTGTTGAGGTTCCTCTCATTCCAGGTCCTCGGATGTGGCTCTGTTGCCCAAGCTATCCTCAGTCGAGGACATTTTGGAGGAATCGTCACTGTCAATGTTGGATTTGCAATGGCAGTCGTAATGGCCATTTATGTGACTGGAGGTGTCTCTGGTAAGTAATAGAAATAATAATAGCTACTACGATCTCAACCATTTCAGTGTGCTAGCTTAGTGCTGGGTGCTTTCTATACCCTCATGTATTGAGATCTCAACAGTGCTGCAAAAATATGTATTTGGTTCTGTTTTTAGAGATGACAAAATTAAAATGTCCAGCAAATGGTAAGTGACGTGTGCAAGGGCAACATTTAGCAAGAGACAGAATCAAAACTAACTGATTCCAATATCTGGCCACTGAGTCATATTCTTCATCTGTGAATATGGTCTTTGACTTGCCTGACCCCACACTCAGAAACTACTTCCCAGGTGCCTTGTGAGTAGCCCAGGGAAGACTGTCACCCCACAGAAGCACAGTCCTTGGACCTTTATCCGCAGCATGCAGAGAGCCTGGGTCACTGGCCGGCGTTTTCATGGACATGCAGGCCTGATCCAGAGGTCTTGGTCTAATTCTGCCCCTAGTGGTGGGCTGGTTAGTAGCCATTCTCAAGGTTCTGAGAAGCAAGATGACATAACATTTAATGCAGCCTGGGAACTTAGGAAGGGACTGTGAAAATGATCTGGTTCCCAAAGGCTCTTGGAATCTTTCAGCAGCCTGGTCTGGGCTCTCAGAACAAGACTGTTAGTGATAAAGGGGGAAAGGGAATTGTGCATGCTGGGCACTGTGCTGGCTGCCGTACATAGCTTGCCTCCTCTCTCCTCTCCAGCAGGCAGGTATTAGTGTCTCCCTTATGCAGAGAAAACTGGAGCTCCGAGGGATTAAGTAAATAGCCAGAAGTCCCGCCGTTGGTAAAGAGACAGACCAGAGATTAGACCCAGGTCTCCATGACAGCAAAGTTCATGTCCCCATTATTTCACAACGTTTCCAACAGCCTGTTATGGGAAGGGCATTACAGGCAGGGCCTGCAGCCCAGCCAGCCGGCCTGGTGACAAGCGCTATCATTGCAGTTCTAAAGAATGATGGCTGACTCCCTGGGAGCCTCCATGGGCTGGCACCTGGAACAGTCATTTTCTGGCCGGCACCCTTCCCATAGCACAGTCAGACTCAGATCCCGGGGCGGTCCAGGTTACAGATTCCTATATATGGAATTTGTTTGTCATGAGCAGTGTTTCTGTTCAAACTCCTGCTGAGTCTCTGCTGTGATCCCAGCACTGTGCTACCTACCAAAAGATGCACTCCTGAATTAAAACCAGCATGCAGGCCTTGGCTGGTATGGCTCAGTGGTTGGAGCATTGTCCCATACACTGAAAAGTTGCATGTTCAGTCCCTAGAGGACAACCAATCATCGATGTTTCTCTCTCTCTCTCTCTCTTCCTCTCCCTCTCTCTTCCCCTCTCTTTAGAATCAATAAGCATATCCTCCAGTGAGGATTTAAAATACAAAAACAAAAAGCCAGCATTCAGGATGCTCCACTGCCACCCCTACATGCTCCCACTCCATTCATAGCGTGGTCTCCATAAACCATGCAATATAAATGTGGGCATATTCCCACCTAGTTTTTGTTTGTTTTTTGGTGGACATGTGGTTTTGGAATATTTTGCTTGCATGATACCCTGAATTGAACATAGTCAAATATTTAGTTATTACTTTGTCCCACACCCTACCAATGTAACTAACAATCTTTACTGCCATGACTACTCGCATTCATTGATATGTTTGGGAATCTGGGCAGTCGCCATAGGAGGAAAAGGCAGGGAGGAGGGAGTAAAGGTTGGTATGCAGTCTTGCCATCTGGCGCCTGGACTGGGGTTCAGGCACTGTGCTCAGAGGGGTGAAGGCCAGAACTGATGGGACCGGTTTTAATGGAGTTGTTTCTGGGTGAGGGTCGGGAGCTGGCCAAATTGTTTATGAGGGACTGTGAGATCCCAAAATACAAGTAGAGCAGTCAGTTTCTGAGCCTGGCTGATAAAAGGTAGGAAAGGGAGCTTGTCTCTCCCTTTCTGTTTGGAACTTAATGCTGTTTCAACTCCCTGAAAACTGGTGGCTTTGGGAACATGCACAGAGAGCACACTGGCCCACCAATGACATCCATGCAGACTCAGTATTGGCTTCAGCAGCCACAGGAATAGGAGAGAAAGATCGTGTGCAGGAGGAGACTTTCTCACGGCGACTGCAGCTAACTTAATGGTGTGTGGGCACCCGTGAGGTCCTTTTGAGGATTCCAAAGATAACCAATGGATAGTGGGCATAACTATAAATGAGATCCCATTTTGTGGTTGCAGATTGGTAAGATGAGCTGAAATCTGGTTTTGAAATATAAAACATTACCTTACTGCAAAGAAGTTACCGCACCCTGCTTCCCTTGTGAACATGCCAGTGGTCTGGGAACCCAGCGCAGGCAATCAGGGCTCACAATACCTCATGCAGCCTCTCCCACCCAATGTCACACCGCCGACCCGTGCCCAGGCTACGGTGGTTGGTTTGATGGAGCATTTTATTAGTAATATAAATTCATGGAAATATCAAAATGGCTTTGCTTAATGGCAAATAAAATATAGAAGTTATCTCTGTCCTAGAATTGTCTGTGGGTGGTGGGGAGGAGGGCACTTGTCTAGAACAGAGCCTTGAAAGGGCTCCGCCTGCTCCCATAAGACTTTATCTCAGGCCTCGTGGGCTCCTGCTGCTCATGGGGCTCTTACTGTGAATAATCTGATCGTCGCAACAGCCTTGGCAGGGCCAGGCTGCATGCGGCACTCTCTGACTCTGGCTCTCCTGTTCTTTCCAGGACACTGCTCTGCCCTGTCCTTTGGCTAAGCCAGAGTGACCACTCCTCTCCACAGGGAGAAACTGTCCCCATTGCTTTGCAAAGCACCCTCTCAGACCCGCAATCTTCCCACTCTGTAGATCCTTGTAGTCTGAGCTCTCTGGATAAAGGCCTCTGACTATTTCTTCAGCTTTTATATCCTTCCCTTTCTCTTTCTTTCTTCTTTTTAATTTACCTTTATCGTTGAAAGTATTTCAGATGTCCCCTTTATTTCCCCATCGACCCCGTTCTACCCCACACTTGCCCCTATATCTTTTTTTTCAAACCTCACCCAAGGATATGTTTTTATTGATTTTTTTTTTTTCCCCCCCGAAAGAGAGGAAGGGAGAGAGAGAAACATGAATGTGAAGGAGAAACTGATTGGTTGCCTCCCATACTCGCCCCCCTCCCCCAGCCGGGGATCAAACCCGAAACCTGGGTAAGTGCCCTGACCGGGAATCGAACCCCCAACCCCTTGATGTACAGGCAACATTCCAACTAACTGAGCCATCTGGCCAGGGCTCACCTTTCATATGTTGAACACCTATTAATTGCCTTGCAGCACGTGAAGTCCAAAGTGAATAATAGTTCCTGCCTCGGGTGCTTATGAGGGACTAAAAAGCAAAAGCCTCATACGGGAAGTTTTATTTTGGACCCATCTGAGGGGAGGCACTTTGGTTTGGAGGTGATTTCTTGTGCACCTGGTCCTTTCACAGTGGGTCCCTCTGGGCTGGCTGTGTGCCGGCTACTCTCCAACCTGCCCCTGGGGGAGGGGAACAGGGCTGGCTTCAGGAACTTTCCACCGCCCTGTGTGCTCCCGGCTCCTACCCCTGTTTCCAGCTTTCCTGGTGTACTGTACTCCTGCTGGTCTCAAGAATTGTAACTCTTGGATTTAAAACAAGACAGGCGACATGTTTGTAGGCTTGTGGAAATCACCTGGGCTTTGGTATTATTGGCATTTTCTTGCTCGTATTAGCCCCTGCGTGGCAGGGGCAGGTGTAGAAAGGACCCCTGCGGTTTAGGCGGCAGCCAGAACCCTTCTCTGCTGCAAACCCACCTTGGCTTAGAGACTCAGGAAAAGCATGGCTTTCTTCACAGGGAGGGCTCCCAAAAACAAGCTCACCTACAGGTGCTGTGGAGGGTCAGATGTCGAGATATCATCCTAATCATCATCATCATCGTCGTCGTCATCATCACCACTCTTGTTTACAACTATTTCTACAACCTGAATGTCCACATTTTCATGTGGTCCCATTGACAGTAACTTTAATTCCCCTTCACACAAAATGTCATCTGTACTCTTCAAATGGACAATTTTTGTCTGTAGGAAGTGAGCCCATACACTCACGTTCATTTTATTTTTCCCTGCCCACTAAGGCAGAGAAGCCTTCGCAAACTTGGTGAAGGTCTGAAAGTGATAGAACACAGAACATGGGCTCTAGCATTCAGATAAACCTGGACTTGAATTCTAGTTCTACCACTTGTTAACCATGTGGCCTTAAGAAAGTTACTTTAGTTCTGTGCCTCAGTTTCCTCACCAGTTAACTGGAGCATACCCATCTCACCGGGTTCTTTCGAAGACCAAGTGCATGTAATACCCCTGTGACAGCATCTGGCGAGTGTTCAGTGAACGTTGCTGTTACCAGCGAAGCCGGCTGCGGATATTAGTGACTTACCAGAGCAAGCTCTGTCTGATCTTGTGGTGAGAGGAAGATCAGGGAGGCTGATTTCTCCAGCCATGGTTTAGGTGGGGGTAACAGAGCGCTGCTACATCTCTGTGTGAGAGAAAAATATTGTTTATGCAGCAGAACTGCAGAGAATCCACTCAGACACTGTGATCACCTCAGTGTAAACCGAGCTCCTTACCTCAGTGAGGGGCACAGCCCACCAACCAAGGGACATTTCCCCTTAAAGAGATATCTCTTTTCAGGTTTAAAAGAAAATTTATGAGTTTATTTGAGCCAAACTGATGACATGCGGGGAATAAGATCTAAAATGCTCCCTCTTTTCCAGTTCCAAGGTTGTTTTTATATCCTCTGGTCATGGACTGAGTGTATTGAAGTCTAAGCCTACTGACTTTTAAAATATATATATTGAAGTTAACAGTTCACATCAGTCTCTTTGGGGTTAGTGCTTTATAGACAGAGAAAACTCAGTAGATAGATGCCAGATAGATGCCAGGTAGATAGACAGAAAATGAGCCATTTGAGTATAAGTTTCTTTCTATATCAAAAACTAAACATCCTAAAGAATGTCTAATGATGCCATGAGGATTATTAGTCCTCTCTTCCTCCCAACTCAATCTCTCTATCTCCCCCCCCCACACACACACATTCAACACACACACACAACATACACACACAACAGACACACACACCATACACACACACACACACACTCGACTCTGTGTCCTCACATACTGACATCTACCTACTCTGCCCAAGGTCTCTGAATAAGGTTTTCCTTAGAATAATTCTCCCTGATCTGCCCGCTAACGTCCCTATCCATCTTATCTTCCTTGCAGGGGGCCACATCAACCCAGCTGTGTCTTTTGCAATGTGTCTCTTTGGACGGATGAAATGGTTCAAATTGCCTTTTTATGTGGCAGCCCAGTTCTTGGGAGCCTTTGTAGGGTCCGCAATCCTCTTTGGCATTTACTATGGTGAGTAAGGCCCCTGAGTCCAGAGGTGAGGGGGAGCTGGGCCTAATATGAATGTCAGAATTACTTGGAAGAGATGCAATAAGGCAAGAACAGGAAGCACCCTACTATTGACAGGCAGCTCGAAGAGCTCTCAGTTCTAAATAGTGGGGCCAACATTATCATTAGGGAAAATTCACAACTTAAAATGGTCACAACTTAAAAGAGGGAGCAGAACTTAAAGAAAACGTGTATTTAGTCTCAACCACTGCTGCAATGTGACATGCACAACATAAGTAACTTAAGTCATCAGACCTTACTGGTCTCGGTTTCCTCCTCTGAAAAAATGAGGGAGCTGGACTGTGGTAGCAGAGAGCTGGGGTCAGCACTGGCTCTGTGGGGACCACTGTCTCCCTTGTTCCCAGGGCAACTTCACTATACCGTGCCACCCTCAAATTGTGGGCTGATGTTAGAATTATGAATTCTGCCTAGAGTAGACCAGGTCCCACATTGGCCTTCACTCAATCTCAAAAATTCCAACAATTCTCCCAAAAGAAGATTGTTTCTGGGACCCACTGGCTAAGGATCTGGCTCAAGTTGAGAGTGAACCATTGAGGGCAGCCAGGGCTTTCTATCCTTGACCCACCATCCTGTGACTTCTCTGAAACCACTATTCTATAAAGTGAAGAAAGGCAAACAGTATGGATCTGCCAAACTAAACCTGAGTGTTTGACTGCGCTTGGTTAACACAGGCTCTGGCATAGACCACCCTCAGCCCTTCCCAGAGAACACTAACATGCTGGAACTCTGTCTTCCATAGATGGACTTATGTCCTTTGCTGGTGGAAAACTGCTCATCATGGGAGAAAATGCAACAGCACACATTTTTGCAACATACCCAGCTCCATATCTGTCTCTGACGAATGCATTTGCAGACCAAGTAAGTGGCCATTCAACAGAGAGCTAATTTTGATGAAAGGACAGGATTTGATCAGGGGACTGCATCAGAGCACTGTGGGCCTATCAGAAAGGAAAAGCTGTGTTTCCAAAGTCAGAGGCCACTAGGCAGCACCCAAGCTTTCTTTTTAAAAAAAAAATATATATATATATCTTTATTTCAGAGAGAGGAAGGGAAAGGGAGAGAGAGAGATAGAAACATCAATAATAAGAGAGTCATTGATCGGCTGCCTCCTGCACGCCCCCTATTGGGGATCAAGCCCGCAACCCAGGCATGTGCCCTGACCGGGAATCGAACCACTGTCTCCTGGATCCTAGGTGGATGCTCAACCGCTGAGCCACGCCGGCCGGGCAGCACCCAAGCTTTCTTGACAAATTTTTGCATTTGTTGAAGTTGATACCATTAAGAGTTTTCTAGTTCCTCCTTAATATATACACTTGTTCATACCAGTTGAGTTCCAGAAAGTAGTGGAAGACTAAACATTTCAACCTCTGTAGGGGTGAATGGGATTTGCTTAGCTATTGTGCCTCTTTTGTGCACATGATCTAAATGTAGAGACCACAAGAAAAGACATTTCAATATCAATTCAAGGGTTTCTCAAGGATTCTACTTTCCATCCAATTCAAGCCCAGTTTATCATATAATGAAGAAGATGGCATTTAGTCCAGAGCTGTTGAAGGAGCTTTAGAGACTTCTTGTGAATTCAGGCCCTTTCCACTGACTTTCTCGCTCAAACCTTGGCTTGCACTAAAAAGGCCAGTGTCTCTGTTCCCTGTGATCTGGACCCACAGCCACCTTCCTGTACCCTTGATCTGTTCTGAGAATGTGGCAAAGTGAAGCCTCCAGCCCCTGTAACTTTCCCACAGAGACAGCCTCCCTCCACCGAGTCCTCCAGCTATGCTCTCCTCCTTCCCCTCTGGAGAGTACGCTGGCCCCAGGACATCTCTGGGTCACCATATCTCAAGATTACTAAATTGTTTCACTCTAAATATCGTTCAAGCATATTTCGTAATTTAACTAACAGACAATCATTCCTTTGCCTAATAAACATTGCTGGCACCTGCTGAGCCAGGCACAGTTCCATGCTGTTCCTTGTTCAGGGAATACAAAGCCTGGTTCTCTGACAAGTAGCAAATCCCTCTCTCGCAGGTGAGAACACGGGGATAGAAGTAAAGTCAGAAAGCAACAGGAGCCCAGAGGCAAAAGCTTCTACTCTGCCTGGGGGAGAGAGACAGGGTTTCCAGAGAAGAGAGCTCTCAGGAGAACATGTCTCTTTGAACACAGATTCTTATAATATTAATTCAGAAAGCAGATGAAATGATGAAGAGCTTAAACTCTAAAATCAGTTGTCTGGGTCTTCTCCTGATTCTTCTGCTTATGAGCAATGGGCCCCAGGGCAAGTTTCTTAACCTCATTCTACCCAAGTTTTCTCACCTGCAAACAGAATAATAGCAGGATTTATCTCAGAGATCATTCTGAAGCTCTAATGAGATAAAGCATAGAAAATACCTGGGACACAATAAGTGTTCCACAAATAGTCGCTGTCATTTAGCTGTTAAAGTAAAATAGTAGTTTGGAAAGTTTAGAAAACAAAGAGTAGAGAAGACACAAGCTAAAAGCCCTCACTTCAGAAAACCTGTTGTCACTTTTTGTATATTCTCTTAGAAGTTTTCTTTTATGCATGTTTTTAATGTAAACTATAATGCACATACAACTCTTTTACTTAATATCAGAAGCGTTTTTAAATGATACCCCTTAGCTTTTATATTTGTTGTTCTTAATGGCTGTATAATAGATTATAAAATGGGCACTGCTAATATAGCCCTTTCCCTACTGATGTGTACTTAGGTGGCCTCCAGTTTTTCAGTACTATAAATACAGTTAACCCTTGAACAACGTGGGGGTTAGGGCCACCAACCCCATGCAGTTGAAAATCCTTGGATAAATTTTAACCCCCCAGAAATTAACTACTAATATCCTACTGTTGCCTGGAAGCCTTACCAATAACATAAATAGTTGATTAACACATATTTTCTGTTATATGTATTTTATGTTCTTAAACCAGAGAAAATCTTATTGAGGAAATCACACACAAAAAGAAAGTACATTTACAGTGTTTACTGAAAAAAATCCACATATAAATAGACCCATGCAGTTGAAAACCCATGTTACTCAAGGGTCAACTCTAATGGTAAAGTGAGCATATCTGTTTTATGATTTTTCCATATTTTAGATTATTTTCATGGTATGGTTCTCAAATATCCAGTGGGGTCAAACTGAATAAGTAATTTTGTAGGTTTTTTAAAAATTCATATTGCTTTATTGCTGCTGAGTTTCTTTTCAGAAGTCTGGTACATGTTTAGTTCTCTTGGAAACGCCTGTGAGAATTGCTATCATTTCCCTAACATTTGGTATCATTTGCATTTCTTTTCATTACAAATCAGTTTTTCCCACTTACTTGTTTCTTAATTCTACTTTTCTTTAATGAATTTTTCTGTTCATTTCCTTTGCCCATGTCCCTATTGATATCTCACATTATTTGTCTTGCCAATTTGAATGAGCCTGTTTGTTCATTTTTCCGGCCTGCAGTTTGTCGTTCTGTTTAACCGAGTAGTAGTTCAGCAGCAGACTGTAGTAAAGACGACAGTCTCTGGAGCCTAACTCTCTGGGTCCACACCTCACCACTACTAAGTGCATAACCTTGGCCAGGTAACTAGCCTGTAAAGGAGAATATCAGCACCACATTGGAGATCGCTGTGGTAAGAAGAGTGCCTGGCACGGTGCACTCACCCAGTGTATGGTGGTTACCACTAGGCTTGTATTTAACAAGAAGGGATGAGTTTTGAGGTGGGCCAACTGGCAGATTATAAGCTGACCCCCTTGCGCGTTTCCTCCTTTCTCAGGTAGTGGCCACCATGTTCCTCCTCATGATTGTCTTTGCCATCTTTGACTCCAGAAACTTGGGAGTCCCCAAAGGCCTAGAGCCCATTATCATCGGCCTCCTGATTATTGTCATTTCTTCCTCTTTGGGACTGAACAGTGGCTGTGCCATGAATCCAGCTCGAGACCTGAGTCCCAGACTGTTTACTGCTTTGGCAGGATGGGGGTTTGAGGTCTTCACGTAAGTAGCAATGGTGAGGGGAGAGGGGAGAGAAAGGTTCGTGCTGTGCTTTATCAGGGAGGGCTGTGCTTGGAACTGGGATCCAGGAGAGTGCAGACGGGAAGGTGGAGGTCAAGTGCATACTCTGGTCATCAGTATGGAATGTCTGACTGGTGATTGTGACATGGTGGGGCTGTGTGTGTGTGTGTGTGTGTGTGTGTGTGTGTGTGTGTGTGTGAAAAGGAGGCAGGCAGGCAGGCAGGCAGGCACAGAGACAGTGAGGGGGGGCGGGATTCCAAAGAGGTAGTCCTGTCCTATATATAATTGGTGCATGGTTTTATGTGAATATTTTGATTGTATAACTTGTTTACAGATTCACTTTGTGACAAAGTTGGGCTAGAATTTACATCTTTTGATACTACTACAGAGCTCTTTCTAGTGAACCATGCCAGCTACGCTTCATTCGTTCATTCATTCAACAGATCTTCACTGAACACTATGCTGTGGTCATTGAGCTAGGCAAGGACATTTCAAAATTAGCCAAGTCACTAACCTTGAGCAATGTGATAAGTGCTCTGCACAACCTGTACAACAAAGTTTTGAGGAATGACTAGCTCTGCTTGGGAAAGTTGAGAAAGGCGCCACTGAAGAAAGAGCTGAGTCAGGACTTCAGGTATGAGTAAAAAAATTCCTGGCAGAACAGAGATAAAGAGAACCTGTGCACAGGAAATGGCAAGATCCTGTGCTTTTAGCCTCTGAATGTGCTGAGGAAATATGCCAACTGTTAGTACCAAGCTCCCAGAACAAACTTTGCCCATTACTTCCTTCCCACTTCCCCCCAACCCCATAAAGTCACAGTGGCCCATCCATCCACTCATCACATCTCCCTACAAGAAAGGAACTTACTTGGGTTCATCAGGAAACAGGCCTCTAACATGAAGACAGAGAAGTAGGAAAAACGTGTGGGAACAAGGTTTCGTTTAATGTTTGCTGTGAGAACAAAGGGCTTGAGTGTCCCTAAGTGCTGACCTGCGCATATAGTCATACCCCTGTGATGACTTTAAGTTAGAGTTAGTCTTGTTTCACAAGTAGGAGAAACAAGCTATTAAAATAACTGACAGCATTCCTATCACCACCACAGACAGCACTGAGAGCTACTAGAGCGTAAGCACCACAAGGACAGGAACCTCAACAGCTTCTTCACCACTGTGTCCACAGTGACTAAAACACAGCCTGGCACATAGAAAGTCTCAATGAAAGTTACTGAACAAAGGAGTGGAAGAATGCTGTGTGCCATACATGTCCTAGGAGATGAGGTTACAAGGAGAATCTAATGAATTTCTAGAGCAGTGATTCTCAACCAGAGACATTTTGTCCCCAAGGACATTTGGCAATGTCTGGTTGTCATAACTGGGGAGGGGAGGGGCAGAAGTTGTTATTGGCATCTAGTAGGCAGAGGCTAGGATACCAGGATACTGCTATGCAGCCTATAATACCCAGGACAGATCTCCACAACAAAGAATTATTCCGCCCAAAATGCCGAGAGTGCCACAGTTAAGGAGCTCTGTTCCAGAATGATCACCACTAGAATGTGAGAAGGTTGAACACAATGTCCCCAACTGAAAAGAACTCTGTGTTCCTCCAAAAGAGAAATCAAAACACAAGTCCTAAAGATCTCCGTATTCCCAGAGCCCAGAACTAGCCCAGGAGTTTCCTCTAATCCCATGTTCCTGAGCTTCACTCTAGGAGACCACTGCCCCCCGCCCACCTCTGTTAGCTTCACACAGACCCCTAAAACACAGATGCCCAAGGTGACCTGGCCTCCCTTTGAGCCCTACTTGGTGATTCACTCAAAGCTCTACAAGTATGCTGGTTCTAAAACAAGTAGAGATCTTGCCTGTTCTCTCTTTGCTTTGCTAAGTACATGGTAGGAGACCATGCCTGTGGGAGAACGCTGAGTCACCAAATGCCAGGCTCTGAGCTCCATGTCCCTTTTTAGCATCAGGGTCTTTCCCCTCATGCAGTCATTTATCAGTCACTTACCCGTCCATTAAGCCACCCAACCTCTTATTCAAGGCCCTGTGCTGAAGATGGTAAGACCCAGTTGCTGCCCTTCACAGCGTTATGTTCCCTTTCGGAGAGGCTTTGGCACAGGCTCTTACACAAGGTGGAGACTGACAGGTGCCACAGAAGAGATCTGACTAAGTACCTCCAGGAGTTGAGAGAAGGATTGAAGCTCCAAATTTAGGAATTACGGGGGTGAAATGAGGGGCACTTTGTAGTATCTGGAATGTTTAAATGGGATATTTTCAAGCATAATTCAGTTGGAAAGGATCTTGTACACACAGAATGTTAAAATGACTAGTGATCCAGCCTGGCCGGAAGGCTGCATGAGGAAGGTTGGAAAGGGCAATTACTGACCGACCATAGAGGTTCTAGACTCCCAGAATAAAAAATTGGGGGGTTTTGCTACTCCCTATTCTGTAGGTGATGGGGAGCAGCAAATGATTTAGGGCAGAAGTTTGACATGTTTGGAATTTTAATTTAGCAAAATTAATCTGGCATCATAAACTAAAATGGATTTAAAAGAAGAGAGTAGAGGGAGCAGAAACCAGTTAGGAAAAAGCTTCCCACCCTTTCAAGGTTCTGTATCCAAGGTAAGCACCTCAGTGGACATCCTAGCTTGAACCCACACCCTCAGAGAAAGCCAAGAACGCCTTCTCCTCAGATCCTCACGTGCCCCTGTACGGCAAGCCGGGGGGCTGACCAAGAAGTGGGGCACCAGGCCAGACGAGAGCAAGAATCAACAGACCCTGGCTGACTCTTGCTTCTCCTGTAAGTATTAGGATGCTTCCTATCCAGGTTCTCTCCATGAATTCACATTAAGATGTTTATGAAGGATCTCAGGGGTAGTGTTACTTTTTTAAAAGTTTACCCAAAGGAATGTATCCCTGATGATGGTACCTTAAGCAATTACCACAGACATTTTCCTGGCATCCCCAACATTAGAGGGTGCAAATGACCCTGTACATGTAAGACTTGGCCAGGCAGGGAAGCACATCCGAGCCCGTCCACTTATGACTTGTGACCCTGGCACAAGGCCATCAGCTCTGATAGAAGGATGGGGGTCCATCCAGGGAAAGGAGGACGTGTGTCCTGGCAGATATCTTGGACCCCAATCTGTTAAATTACAGTGAGAGATTCGCTATAAAATAATGGTGGAGGAAAGGAAAAGAAGGACCTCCTACTTCTTTAAAGCCCCTGTGCCTCTCACAGAAACTTCCCTGTGGATTTGGGGACTAGGAAAGGGCGCTGCGGGAAGGGAGGCGCCGCGTCCTCTCTCCCACGCGGTAAGAGCGACACCTTGTGGTTGCTGGGCTCAGGCTCAGGGCTGGTCCCGGGAGCCCGCATTGATGATCTAAGGGTTATGATCCAAGGGGGGGCTTGAGCGATCCAAGTGGAAGGGACCACCGTGTGGATGGAAGCACGAATCTCAGAGAGGAGGAAACTTGCCCAGAGACCTTCTAGACTATCCTGAGATTAGAACTAGGTCCCGTGAATCCTAGGACAGGCCTCTTGTTTGTGCTTATTTCCTTCATTATCTTTTCTCATCAAAATTTGATACAAAGCAAAAGACCCTATGTGTAGATATTAAGCATAATGATAAAAGGTACAGCCACGAATCCTTCCCTTAGACAGATCACTATGAAATCCTCAAGTGCATCAGTGGGCTCCCCTTGTTTCCCCTGCCTCCTCCACAGCGTCCTGAAATTTTTTTATTCATCATGTCCCTGCTTTTAAAGAGTTTTATCTCAAATGCATATATCCCTAAACAATATATTGTATAGTTTTGCTTGCTTCTGAGTATTTATAATCCTTTCTACTGAGTTCTTTAAATGGATTTCCTGTCTCCAAAAACGATGGTGACAATTCACAAAGACAGGCTTTTCCACAGAACTCCACCTTTCATACAACGTACTGACATTGAAGATTTCTGGAGGGGAGAGGGAGTCACAGCACAACAGCCTTATCAGAGAATAACTTCAAGCTGTGACCTCAAAAAATAAGCACTGAATTAAATTATATTTAGTACATAACTCATATTCTACCTCCTATTTTTTAAATTCGTTTTCATTGATGAATATTCCTGATTATTTTGTGGTGGCCTCACACACCAATGATGTCCTGGGATCTCTCCACATCTTCCCACTCATAATCTTCAGGACCCATTATTTCAGGATGAGAGAAGTAAACTCCTGAATATCAACCTGAACTTTTGCTAGATGCCCTCAATGTTGACCATACTACTTACTGTAGGACTATATTTTCTGAAAGGAAAATAGATGGGACACATTCTCTCATAAGTGCTAAGAGGCCAATGGAATGGATCATCTGAAGTCAGGTGTGTTGGAGAGTCCAGGCTGCCAAGCTGTGGTGAGTGCCCTTATACTTAGCTCTTGCCGCATGAAAAGGGAGCCATAAGCATGAGAAAGACTAGCTGGTTAGTGAATAACTAGCAGTAGTGCCAGGAGAAAGGCCAAGTGATGTATCACTAATTCCTTGTTTGATTTCAGAGCTGGAAATAACTTCTGGTGGATTCCTGTCGTGGCCCCTATGATTGGTGCTGCCATTGGAGGCCTCGTCTATGTTCTTATCATTGAAATTCACCACCCAGACTCGGACCCAGACTTCGAGGCAGAATCAACTGATGACAAACCAGAGAAACATGAACTCAGTGTGATAATGTAGCAGGGTGCTCAGTTCTAGGTTTACAGTGCGCTGAGCTGATGTTCTCTTCAGGAAAGATGGCCTGAGGTGTCTATGTTTTCATAAGACTGGGGTGGACCTGCCCAAAGTTCTCTGCTAGCCATTTGGGACACCTGATTGGAAAAGCATCTGAATGAAGTTTTGAAAACACTGACGTCTTCTCTACCAGCTCCCCCCCCCCCC